TATTATATACTGAGCATTTCCTTTGTGCCAGACACTGCCCTAAATCTCTATGCATATTTAATTCTCACCACTACATTGAAGTTTGGTACTATGATCAACCTCCATCTTAGCGATCAGGAAACAAAAGCACCAAGAGATAGTCACTTGCCAAAGATCACAACACTAGTTGCTCAGCTGTTAAAGCACTGGCTCCAAGACTCATATCCTTAATCAATGTATTATTCCATCAAGGCCTACATTCCAACTTTGGCCTACAGATCACGTGCTATAGGTACCACACCCAGACTATCCCTCTGGAATATGCACTTCAACAAGCTCTTTCTATGATTAGAGATCACTGATACGGTAAAAACACTGTATCTGGAGATGACAGACATGGAACTAAGTCATTTTAACATCCTAAGCAACAGTTAGCTAGTCACTTAAAAAACCTTAGCTTCCTTATTTGTCAAATGAAGCAACTGGATTAGGTAATTTTAAAGAGACTTTCCAGATCCACAACAGTTTTATTCTGAATATTAAACAGAGATGAACATTAATGTGTTATCAGCCAAATTAAAAACCTATAGAAAATCTTACTTACCCTGTTTACTGTGGAAGCAAGTGCCTGAAGAACGGCCACTTTATCCCTAAGAATAACAATCACAAGTTAACCCTCTTCAGAGCTCTTAACAGTCACGAAATGAACACATGATTCTACTCTCAGTGTATTAGCTAATGACAAACTTCAGGTCACACCTACAGCCAGTTTTTATCTCTCAAAGTCACTAGAATAAGTTAGAAAATGAGAAAACTGTCTAGTCCTTTTGCCTAAGGTAATTAGTACATGTTCCTCTTTGCTTTGCCTACCTATTCTGGGCTGGTCCCTAACACCATCAACCTAGGGCTAGTCATTGCCGTCCTCACCTCATAAAACTATCTTGCTCAGCTCAGCACCCAAACTCAGTGGTTAGGGTGCCAGCTACATGCACCAGGGCTAGTGGGTTCAAACCCAGCCAGGGCCTGCTAAACAACAACAACAACAACAAAATAGCCGGGCATTGTGGCGGGCACCTGTAGTCCCAGCTAACTGGGAGGCAGAGGCAAGAGAATTGCGTAAGCCCAAGAGTTGGAGGTTGCTGTGAGCTGTGGTGATACCACGGCACTTTACCAAGGGTGACTCAAAAAACAAACAAATAAAAAAACTCATTCCTCTATCCTCTAATCCTCTCCACTACCGCTTTCTGGACTACTTTTGCCTTTACTCTCTAAATTGGTGGCTCTTAATCCAGTTATATGAGAATAACAGGCTATACTCTGGACCTACTACATCACAGCTTCCAAGGTCCACAGATGACTGTCATGTGCACCCTTACTGAACTTTCCAGATGACTCTGATATAGTCCTTTGGTTTAGAACCTCTCAACCATACATAAATTTATGGTAAGAATTGCAGGCCAGCTATCCACCACACCTTTGGGTAGAAATCTTCACTGGACTATTAGAAAAAGGTGGCCAGGTGGGGTGGCTCATGCCTGTAATCCCAGCACTTGGGAGGCTGAGGTGGGTGGATTGCCTGTCACTGACTCCTTGCATTCCTTTATGTCTCCCTCATAATTAGCACTCAACCACTTACTGAATGAACATTGATAGACTACTTACCAAGATTTCTTTCTGGGAATAACCACTTCTTCAATCCCTTAACGTGAAAAATAACAACATGGATCAGTTTCCTAATTTAACAACTATAATAGAATAAATACAATGTGTTGACATAAAATTGAAATTATTTCAATAACTTTTTTATACATACTTGTTACATCAGTTCCTTCAATCTTTGGGAGGGTTGCACTTCCAGAATAAAATCTGCAAAAAATAAAAGTCCTAAAGCTAATGCTCACTAATAAAGTACCCAGCTCACCTCCACCTATGTGCATTTTGAGCCCAAACTTTCCAATTATCATGGAGTAGCTGATTAGATAACTCATGTAAACGTATGCTAAGACGACATGGACTATACAGCAAATTCAATGAATATGAAATATGGACACAAGATGTTCAAAATTTTTTGAAGCAGCCATCTTTACATGGAATCAGAAGAAAAGGAAATTTTTAACGGTGCCGCCCGCCTGCCTGGCGGGCGGCTGCGGTTTAGGGAGTCGGATGAAAGGAAAAGACAAATAAGACAAAGACAGACACATTGGGAAAGGGACTGAGCCGAAGCTGTTTATTGTAATAGGTAGGGGTTTATATAGGTTTTGTTAGTGGGGGAATGAGGGGTACTTTTAGATTTGGTTGTGTATGTAGTCTTGGTTTGTGATAGGCTAGTATTGTGAGGATGAAGTAGAAAGAAGGTGGAGAGTGATATGAGTAAAATTTTTTGGAATGTGTGCACGTGTTAAATCGCCTCTGGTCTTTTGTATAGTTTTTCTTAATTAGCAAGGTCGTTAGGAGCCTCCTTCTAAGATGCACTTTCACTTGAATGTGCTGTAAAATAGTTGTTAACCCTTACATAACGGCATTTCAACAATCTGAATATTTGGTTTGAAATGCAAGAAATTCAACGTTGGGAACCTAAAACTCTTTGAGTTTTAGGCTGGTGCCACCTTTTGGCTGGTGCCACCATCTTCTAGTAACTCGCTGGACAAACACAAAGGAAAGAGGCACCCATACAAGTTCTCTAGGCCTTTTAGAAAGTATGGAGTTGTTCTTTTGGCAACATACATGAGAGTTTACAAGAAAGGTGATACTGCAGATATCAAGGGCATGGGTACTTTTCAAAAAGGCATGTCACACATTTGTTACCATGGCAAAACTGGAAGAGTCTACAGTGATACTCAGCATTCTGGTAGCACCATTGTAAACAAAGTTAGAGGCAAGATTATTGCCAAGAGGATTAATGTGCATGTTGAGGATATTAAACATTCTAAGAGGTAAGACAGCTTCCTGAAAGATGTGAAGGAAAATGACCGGGAAAAAGGAAGCCAGATAGAAAGATACCTGGGTTCCACTTAAGTGCCAGCCCGCTCCACCCAGAGAAGCACACTTTATAAGAAGCAATAGAGAGGGGCCTAAGGAGCTAGAACCTATTCCCTATGAATTTATAGCATAAATTCATAAAAAAAAGAAAAGGTTACTAGGTACTATAAAAATGTTTCTCTTCAAAAGGGGGGGGGGGTCAGGTGGCTATAATCTTAGCACTCTGGGAGGCCAAAGTGCGTGAACTAAAGTCAAGCGTTCAAGACCAGCCTGAGCAAGTGCAAGATCCTGTTTCTAAAAATAGCTAGGTGTTATGGTAGGCACCGGTAGTCCTAGCTACCAGGGAAACTGAGGCAAGAGGGCTGCCTGAGCCCAAGAGTTTGAGTTTGCTGGGAATGATGCCAGGGTACTCTACCTAAGATGACAGAGTGAGACTCTGTCTCAAAACAACAACAACAACAACAACAACAACAACAACAACAAAAAACCAAAAGGAAAGGAAAAAAGAAAAAACCCAGAACTCTCTGAGGTCAACAATTCAGTGAGCCTTTCATATCATGGTAAAGACTTACCTCACCTAATGTAATTATGAAAAAACTAATGACCAATGTGTCTTTCTACAATCAAGGATGTACCAAATATATACAGCCTAATTTAGACTTGGAACTGCTGATATCTACCATTGTCAGAGGCTCAAGCATGAAGTTATTTTTCATCCAAAATACTGAATCATTTTGGTCCCCCACTGAATTTTAGAAATCCAATGTATTATCCACTGCAGCATAGAGCTAGAGCCAGGTCACAACTTAGCAACTGAGTTTTCTGCTTTGGGGAGGGAAGGGTGGTTTTGCTTTTTGTTTTGGGGGAAGACTGGGTCTCACTCTGTTGCCTGGGCTAGAGTGCCCTGGCATCATCCTAATTCGCTGCAAATGATTCTCCTATCTTAGCCTCCCAAGCAGCGTGGACTATAGGTGCACACTACTGCACACTACTTGACTCTACTTTTTGTACTATCGTTCTTGCTTAGGCTGGTCTTGAATTCATGGTCTCAAGCATTCATCCTCCCTTAGCTTCCCAAAGTACCAAGATTACAGGTGTGAGCCACCACTCCCAGCCACGACTGTTTAAAATATTCTGATCACATTAAAAACAAAGTGAACACACCATACAGATGATGTACACGATTAACATTATTTCCCCTTCCTAAATGGCATCAGTATCAAGGAGTGAATACGCAGAAAAATACTTTTTCCACCAGTGGGCTAGTCAGGCATCAGTTTAAAATAAATATCTCGGCTCAGCGCCTGTGGCTCAAGCAGCTAAGGTGCCAGCCACATACATCTAAGGTGGCAGTTCAAATCTAGCCTGGGCCCACCACCAAACAACAATGACGGCTGCAACCAAAAAACAGCCGGGTGTTGTGTTGGGCGCCTGTGGTCCCAGCTACTTGCGAGGCTGAGGCACGAGACTTGCTTGAGCTCAGGAGTTGGAGGTTGCTGTGAGCTGTGATACCAGAGCACTCTACCCAGAGCGACAGCTTGAGGCTCTGTCTCAAAAAAAAAAAATAATAATAATAATAATAATAAAATAAATATCTCTCTCTGCTAAAACCATTTCAGAATAGAAATCAGCTTTCTTTTTTTTTTCTTGAGACAGGGTCTCACTAAGTTGCTCAGGCTGATCTAGGAATTCCTGGCCTCCAGGGATTCTCCCACCTCAGCCACATTAGCAGATGGGATCGCAGGCATGTAGTGATACTAAACTCACAGAAACCAACTCTTTCAAGTTATGAATCGTCTTGACGCTAAACACAGATATGGGAGTCAGGCAAAGAGAATGGGTAGAAATATGCCAAAAACAGTCACTACCAAGGAAAAGGAGGCCTGTGATTGAATGACAACATAATGGCTTTTCCAATACCAGATAAGAGTGTTTTCTCCAAGTATGTTAAAATAAACGTTGTAAGTTACATACCTCACTTATTCCTCATAAATTTTTCCCATGGTTATTACCAGCTCTAGTACACAAATACGAAAATTTGTCTATCACCCAACTAAGGAATGGGCTAAGAGTAAAGATAACATTACGTTTGTCTCACATTTTCGCTCCTTATTAGGGCCTCTCATACTGCCTCAATGCCACTGTTTGCACTGAATGAGAAAAATTACATAAACAGGTAACCCAAGTTACAACTCACAGATTCAAAGAATGTAGTCAGATCTTTGAGGCTTTTCTGCTTTTATGTAAACCTTCTAATTTCTTAGGCCAAAGTCTCCGTTGCACTGAGCAGCACACAGTGGCGATCATAGGCTGCTTGTTATTTGGGAAAATCGCAGGAGTTCTGGTTGCATTAAATTGAGTAAGAACAAAACATATTATTTTTTCTTTTTTAAATTCGTAGCAGGATTGCTAACACCCAGCCTCATTGGAATGCAAGTTTATGATTCCAGAGTATTGCACACGATGAACAAATAATCTCCCTAAAGAACAAATGCGTTTCGCACTCTATTTGAAAGCACCAGCTCCGCGTGTCTGGGGTTCGGTGCACGCGACCGAAAGAGCACGCATGCGCAAACGACTCCAGTGTACCAAGTCCCACAGTTCTCAGGGAAGCATAGGAATAAATTGACTCTGCGATCTTCTTCGTGGGTGTCTCCAGTTTCTCTCTTACCTGAAACTTGATATTTGTTCACAAAGTCCTGCCCGTTGACCCTTCAATGACAGGAAAAGCCTGCTGCGGATGCTGAAGCTAACAGACGCCGCCATCTTTCACTTCTTCGCAGAGCATGTTGGGAAAGCACGCCTCCGACCTTCTGGAAAGCGTAGGGGGCGGGGCCGGCTCAGCTATTGGCTGAGGCGAAACAAGATGGGAGCAATCCTGAAATTGGAGGGTGCACGCTCTTGATTGGAAAGAATTTATGACAGAAGGTGAACGCTTAATACGCGTCACCTGCCTCGAAGAAACTTTTCTACAGAATTATTTTCATGTCTTATATATTTTTGATTGTGTTCGGAGAGGGCGAATTGAGAATCGTACCACTATTTTCCTTCCTCCCTCCAGCAACAATGATGTCGTCCACGTAAATCTCATTCCAGTGAGCGATTCCCGCGCGCAAGCGCAGTTTGAATCACATGGTGGCTCCTGGCTTAAGGTTTAGTTAGGAATTTGCTGGTGATAACAGTAACGTCTCTTTAGGTGTCGGAGCTCAAAACTGACCTACAGAATGTTGGGCTCCAAGAACATGCCCTGGCGGCGGCTGCAGGGCATTTCCTTCGGGATGTATTCGGCTGAAGAGCTCAAGTAAGGAGTTGGTGGGAAGCATGCACAGCTCGGATTTGGGGGTCGGCGCCATGAACTACGGTTCCCAGAAGCTTTCGGTCCAGCCTGTCTTCTGCGTCCACGGTTGTCTGGCGCATATCCTGCTGGGATCCGTAGTTCTGGGAGCGTTCCTGAGCCGACGTATACTGCCTAGAATCTGGCGGGATTAGAAGGAAGTCCTGGTTTGTTGCGTTATCATCTGCCAGCTTTCTCCTTAATTAGCGAGCGTTTGGGAGTTACAGTAATGTCCTTGACACGGTTAATTAAGCACGTAATTAGTTTCCTCTTGTCCGTAAAATGATCATCCTCTAGCCTCAGTTCAGGCAGTAATTTCTTTTTGTTGGGACCCTGCTATGGTTTACGCCTAGTTAGTAAGTTAAGGAAACTCTTCCTAGTCCTCATTTTGTTGATGGCAGCATTTGAGTCTTTACCACACCCTTTTGCAACTTTTCTCTTCCAAGACCTTATTGTCTTATGCCCCTCTAAAATATTGTACCTAGCCTATTGCACAAGTCACTAGAAATGGGGAAATAATTCTAGACCTCTCTCCTGACACCTAATTTATTTATGGACCTCTTACTGTGTCTCACCTACGTACCTATTTATTCTGTACCCTGCTTTTTATCCCAATTGCTACTGTGATAGATCCAACATTTATCTTATGTTTGAATTGTCTTTTCCTTACACCTTTCTTACACCTGTCCATTCTCCTCACCTCTGTCAAAATTACTTTCCAAAGTGTAAACATAATCATGGTACTGTCACCCTTAAAACTCTGAAAAGCACCTCCATTTCCCTCAGATAAAAGATACTTTCTTAGCATAGCCTACAGAGTCTCCCATGATGAGGCCAGTGCTGATTTTAGCCATGTGATCACTCTTTCTCTAGCCCTGTTGAACCGTTTGCACATCCCAGAAACTGCCATCATGTTTCAACATCTGGGCCTTTCTTCAGAGTACTTCCAAATGTCCTTTCTGCCTGAGTGACCTATTTCCCTCTGTTAACCGCTCAACATGCACACCAGAAGGCTCAGTCAATGTCCCTAGTTTTTTGAGGTCTTTTTGCACATAGTACAGTTGTCTGTCATGGTGCCTTCTTACTTTCTGTGCTTGTGTGTATTTGTCTTCCTCCACTAGCCCTGAGTTTCTTGTATGTATAAATGTGTGAATAAACTTCTAAGCCAAATCTCTGGTATCAATGGTAACAACGTGCTATTCCAGAAATTCACATTATATCATCACCTGCCATAAGCCAAAAGCAAAAATGTTTTAGGTTGCCTGAATTTTTTAAGAGATAGTTGTGGAGGCTTGGCGCCTGAGGCTCAAGTGGCTAAGGCGCCAGCCACATACACCTAAGGTGGCGGGTTCAAATCCAGCCTGGGCCTGCCAAACAACAATGACGGCTACAACCAAAAATAGCCGGGTGTTGTGGCAGGTGCGTAGGGTCCCAGCTACTTGGGAGGCTGAGGCAGGAGACTTGCTTGAGCTCAGAATTTGGAGGTTGCTGTGAGCTGTGATGTTATGGCACTCTACCCAGGGGGATAGCTTGAGGCTCTGTCTAAAAAAAAAAAAGATAGTTGTGGAGTTTCAAACAAGGGACAGCATGAGCCATTTTTTTTTTTTTTTTAAGAGAGTCTTACTCTGTCACCCAGGCTAGAGTATATACAGTATTGTGGTCATAGCTCCTTGTAACCTTGACTCAAGTGATTCTCCCACATCAGCCTCCTTAGTAGCTAGGACTGCAAATGTTATAGGATGCCTGGCTAATTTTTTTTATTTTTTGGAGAGATTTGTTGCTCAGACTGGTCTTGAACTTCTGGTCTCAAGTAAGCTGTTTGCCTTTTGTTCCCAAAGTGCTGGGATTGCAAGCATGAGCCACTGGACCAGCCAGCATGAGCAAATTTATACCTGCCACTAACATTTTAGGTCTCTTTGTTGAGAAGCTTCTGTAATTCTGCTACCTATTACCATTCTCAGTTCTAATAGTTTCTCATCTCACTCAGAGTAAAGCCAAGTCTTTAAAATGGCTTGGAAGGGACATTTGTGGCACCTGTTACCTCTGTGACCTCACCTTTATTCCTGTTACCCTCTGGCTTCTTTGCTGGTACCACATTACTGCAGGCACCCACTTACCTCAGGACCTTGGCCCTCTCTGCTTCTTTCTCCTGTGAAGCCCTCTGCCCAAGAGACTGGGTGGCTTGCTCTCACACCTTGTTCAGGCCTTTGCGCAAGTGTCTGCTTAATGTTGCCTTTTTGTTTATTTGTTTTGTTTTTGTTTTTTTTGAGACAGAGTCTCACTATGTTGCCCTTGGTAGAGTGCTGTGGCATCACAGCTCACAGCAACTTCAAACTCTTGGGCTTAAGTGATTCTCTTGCCTCAACCTCCCAGGTAGCTGGGACTACAAGCACCCGCCACAATGCCTGGCTATTTTTTATTGCATCATTGTTTAGCTGGCCTGGGCTGGATTTGAACCTGGCTCCCAGGGTGTATGTGCCTAGCCCTGTAACCACTGTGCTACGGGCGCTGAGCCATTTTTCTGACCACTGGATCACCCTATCATTCTTCCTCTTCCCTACTTTATTTTTCTTCATGGCATTGGCCATATACTTATTTATTTTGTTCGTGGTGTGTTTCCCCTTCTTCAGTAGGATTCTTTTCGGTTTCCTTGACACCTAAAACTATATCTGGCACATAGTAAGCACTCAGTAGTATGTCACTAGATGGACGAAGGAGCTATCTGCTTAGCACTTGGCATGTTCAGTCCTTCCTACACCACCACCATAGTACCTCCAGTTATAGGAAAGGAAATTCAGGCCCAGAGAATAAAATGTCTCTCTAGGAAATAGCAGGGGTCATCCTCAAACTTAATTCTGTTGGTCTCAAATTCAGTACTGTCCAGTAGAATTCTTACTGATTGCCTCTCCTCTTCACCCTTCACTAACTCTATCATGATGAGAGGGACTTTCTCTTCTACGTTAGCAAAGAGAAAGGAACTTCGTTTCAGGCACTATATTTTATCTATGTTGTCTTCTAATCATACTAAAAGAGCTGCTGCAATGCTCAAACTTCAGGTGAGAAAATATGTTTAGTAGTTATCAAAGGACTTAATAAAATGAAAAGGCAACCCATGGGATGAGAGAAAATATTTGCACATCATAAAACTGCTAAAGGATTGATATTCAAAACACTTAAAGAACTCCTATAACTCAACTATAAAAACAACTCAATTGGCTCAAGCGGCCAAGGCTCTAGCCACATACACCTGAGCTGGCGGGTTTGAATCCAGCCCAGGCCCGCCAAACAACAATGATGGCTACAACGAAAAAATAGCCAGACGTTGTGGTGGGCACCTGTAGTCCCAGCTTCTTTGGGAGGTGGAGGCAGGAGACTCGCTTGAGCCTAGGAGTTGGAGGTTACTATGAGCTGTAACGCCATAACACTGTACCCAGGGTGATAGCTTGAGGCTCTGTCTCAAAAAAAAAAACTCAATTTAAAAACAAAGGACTTAAGTAGACATTTTTCCAGAGAAGACATGCAGTTGGCCAATAACTACATGAGAAGATGCTCAACATCACTAATCATTAGGGAAAAGCAAATAAAAACCATAGTGAGATACCACCTCAAATCCATTAAGACAGCTACTATCAAAACAGAGAATAACAAGTGTTGGGCAGGATGTGGAGATAGTAGAACCCTTGTACATTGGTGGTAGGAATGTAAAAATGATGCAACCACTGTGGAAAACAGTATGGCAATTCTTTAAAAAAATTAAATACAAAATTTACCATATGATCCAGCAATTCTACTTGTTTTATACCCAAAGAATTGAAAGTAAGGTCTTAAAAAGATACTTCAGAGTGACACTGGCCATGCAACTTACAGTCTTCCAGATCTAAACAGCTTAGTTCTTTATTCCATTCATGAGGAACTTGACTCTCATTGAAGGGAATGTTTACAGCAGTAGTAGGCATCCTTCCCCAGCTAAGCCTGCTTCCAGGTTTTACTTGTCCTTTATTTTCATTTAAATCATAAAAGAGGCTCGGCACCTGTGGCTCAACCGGCTAAGGCGCCAGCCACGTACACCTAAGGTGGCGGGTTCGAATCCCCAGCCCGGACCCGCCAAACAACAATGACGGCTGCAACCAAAAAATGGCCGGGCGTTGTGGTGGGCGCCTGTGGTCCCAGCTACTTGGGAGGCAGAGGCAGGAGACTCGCTTGAGCCCAGGAGTTGGAGGTTGCTGTGAGCTGTGATGCCACGGCACTCTACCCAGGGGGACAGCTTGAGGCTCTGTCTCAAAAAAAAAAAAAAAAAAAAATCATAAAAGAAAGTTGGCTTTGTAGAAGTAGTTTTTAAGCGCCAGTAGAAGTTCCTGTTAAACAAAACATAAAATGTGACGAAACCTTTTATAAAGTAAGTTATATTCCTCAAAGATTTGAATATCTGTGTCCAATTTTCTTGAATTTACTATTCGTACATGCAGGGATTATTGTATCACATTCCCTTGATTGAACTGTGTAGGCTTTGGAATAGATCTGGTTCATATCCTGCCTCTCCCACATTCTGGTTGTGTTACCTGTCTTAAATCACCTAACTGCTCTGAGCCTAGGTTTCCTACTCTGAAAAATGCATGTAGTGATGTCCATCTCTGAGAGTTAAGACCAAGATTAAACAGTGCTGCCTGCATTCAGTATAGAGTAGAAGTTTAACTCCTTTTTAGAAACAGTCTCCCAATATATTCAATGCAAGTTTTGCTTTAAATCTTCTTTTTTGGAGATTTTACTCTCATACTCATTTAGAACATGTGTGTTTATTAACCACAGGACACCTGCTATGTGTTAAGTGTTGGGGAGCAGTGGTTAGCAAAGCAGGCAGAGATGCCCCTCTTGAGCTGTCAGTGTGTCTGAGCAAACAAACATTAAATAATCACTTGACTACAGTTTATAAGTGCCAGAAAAGGAGATACCAGGAAGGTTGGTAACCTTAGTTTTCCTTGGGTCTCGTTTATCTTTTTAGGAAATTAAGTGTTAAGTCTATTACAAATCCTCGGTACCTGGACAGCTTGGGGAACCCATCAGCAAACGGCCTGTATGATTTAGCTTTGGGCCCTGCGGATTCCAAAGAGGTGTGCTCCACCTGCGTCCAGGACTTCAGCAACTGCTCAGGGCACCTGGGCCACATTGAACTCCCGCTCACAGTGTACAATCCTCTCCTCTTTGATGTAAGTGCCTCCTTGCATGGATGGGTCTAAGGGCTGCTTGTGGGATGCATGAGCATTGCCTGAGTCATTTAAGAAGGTTAAGTTGCAAATACTTGGAGTTGAAGGGTTCTTTACCTGTAGAATAAGATTCAAATTATTGAAGTGCCAGATATAACTTCCCCTTACCCTAAATGAATTTCTGTTTTATTCCAGTTGAAAAAGCCATAGCTTTCTTGGTTCTAACCATGTAGGGAGTGGGGAAAGTGTTCAGATTCATCCCCAGTACCTTTTGTTTCAGGGGCTTTGTGCTCATCTTAGACCTAGATGGCACCTCCCTGATAATATAGGGAATTTAGAAGTTCTCAAGGCCTCCCTGATCCTTTCAGGAGAATTCATGAGCTCTTGCTTGGTAACAGAGGAGAAGCAAAGCCACAGAAAGCCTAACAGTAAAGTCAGAATGAAGCGGCTGTCCAGAGTCCTACATGTTCAGCTTTCTGTATCAGCTAACCTAACTGCCAAGACTTTTTAAAGCTACACAGATGATGGTATACATAGACATGATTTTTGTCTGTTAACCATATTAAAGAAAGAATTGAAATAAAATAAAGATAGTCCCCTACTTCAGGTCATATGTGCAAAATAAATTTTAAATTTTAATGAATTAAAATGAAACTATGTGGTGCCTCATGCCTATAATCTTAGCACTTTGGAAGGCTGAGGTGGAAGGATTTTTTGAGGCCGGGCCTTGAGTTCAAGTCTCACTAAGCAACATAGTGAGACCTTTTCTCTACAAAAAATAATTTTTAAAATTAGCTTGGCATGGCGACAAATGCCTGTAGTCCCAGCTACCCAGAAGGTTTAGGCATTGCTTGAGCCCAGGAGTTCAAGGTTGCAGTAACCTATGACTGTGCACTCTAGTCTGGGTGACAGAGTGAGACCTATATCTTAAAAAAAAAAAAAAAGGTAGAGAGCAACGTTTATTTAGTTTTTAGGGTTGTAAAGGCCTTTCTAAGTACATAGAGTGAAGCAAAATTCTTTTTTTTTTTAATTTTTTTTTTTTTTTATTGAATGGTAACTATGTACATTAATGCACTTCTGGGGGGCAAAATTCTTAAAGAGTACCCTAACTACATAAAGATAAAACTTGGGAGTATACAGAAAACCATCTTGACTACTATGTTTCTTTTTAATATCCTGTTTGTTTGTTTGTTTCCCCTCTCTTTAGAAACTCTACCTGCTGCTCCGGGGCTCTTGTTTAAACTGCCACATGCTGACTTGTCCCCGGGCTGTGATTCACCTCTTAGTCTGCCAACTAAAGGTTCTGGAAGTTGGGGCCCTACAAGCAGTCTACGAGCTTGAGCAAATTCTGAACAGGGTGAGTATGTAACAGGTCACAGAAATCAGGAAAGCCGAAGTGATAGGGAACAAGAGGTGTTTATATGTTGTCCTTACTTACTATTCTAAGTTTGACCTTTATCTCATAACTGGATACCAATAGCTAGATGTGAAAATGTGAAGTTTGAAGAATAATTGAAGAAATGTTATTGAAAACAACAGTGAAATACCATTTTATTCATTAATGAGCTTTTTATTGCTGGACCAATATTCAATCAAGGTTTATGGATTGCTTTTGATTGTTGCATCTCTTTGGTCTATTTTATTATAGAACATTTTAATGTAGAAAATTTTTTTCGGCTGGGCATGGGTGACTCACGCCTGTAATCCTTGCATTCTAGGAGGCCAAAGCAGAAGGGTTGCTTAAGGTCAAAAGTTTGAGACCAGCCTGCATAAGAGTGAAACTGAGACACTTGTATCTACAAAAACTAAAAAAATTAGCTAGGCATGGTGGTGGGCACCTATAGTCCCAGCTACTTGGGGGACTAAAGCAGGAAGATCACTTTAGCCTAGGAATTTGAGGTTGCTGTGTGCTATGGTGATGCCACTGCCCTCCAGCTGGGGTGACAGAGTGAGATTGTGTCTCAAAAAAACAAAGAACATTCTTTTTCATGATATTGAGTTTTTTGTAGACTCAGGGCTAGTTGTATTATAGGATTTCTCACATTCTGGATTTGTCTGATTTTTTTTCTCATTTTGACAATACAGCCTATATTATATAAGATACTTTGTAATAATCATCTTAGAAGCTCATGGTCTCAGCTTGTTCTGCTGTTAGTAATGCTAAATTTGGTTACTTCTTTTGGGTTTTTTTTATTGCTATATAATAATTATACATATTATGGGATATGTAGTGGTGGTGTGATGCAGATAATGTGTGGTAGTCAGATGGAGTAATTAGCATATCCATCAGCTCAAACATTTTCATTTCTTTGCATTGGAAACATTGTATCTTTTTTCTAGCTAGTTGAAACTGTGTAGTATTATTAGGCCACAGTTACTCTACAGTGCTAGAGAACATTTTTTACCTAACTGTAATTTTGTGTCCTTTAACAAATATCTCCTCTTATCCTTCCCTCTAAGCTTCTGTGCCTTTAGTATCTTCTATTCTACTTTTCCTTCTGTGAGGTTACTTTTTTTTGTTTGTTTTGGCTTCCACATATGAGTGGGAATGTGGAGTATTTAAGTTTCTATGTCTGGCTTATTTCACTTAATGTAATGGTCTCCAGTTCCATCCATGTTGTTGCAAATGATAGGATTTCCTTCTTTTTTATGGCTAAAAAATATTCCATTGTGGATATATACCACATTTTCATTATTCATTCATCTATTAGAATCCTAAGTTGATTCCCTATCTTGGCTACTGTGAATAGTGCTGCAATAAATATGCGGGTGCAAGTATATCTTTGACACAGTGATTTCTTTTTCTTTAGATCCCAGTAGTAGGATTGATGGATCATATGGGTTTTCTACTTGGAGGTTTTTGAGGAACCTCCATAATGGCTGTATTAGTTTACGTTCCCACCAACAGTGCATCCTTGCCCGATTTTATTATTTTTTTGTCTTTTTGATAATAGTCATCCTTACTAGGGTGAGCTGACAGCTTACTGTGGTTTTGATTTGCATTTCCCTAAGTATTAGTAATATTGAGCTTTCTTTTACATTTTTGTTTGGCTATTTGTATTTCTTTTGAGAAATGTCTGTTCAGCTCATTTGTCCATTTTTAAATTGGATTTTTATTTTGCTCTCAAGATGTTTGAGTTCCTTGTATATTCTGGATGTTAAACCCTTGTCAGATGAATTGTTTGTGCATACTTTTTCCCATTTTGTAGGTTATCTTTTCACCCTGTTGATTGTTTCCTTTCCTATACAGAAGCTTTTTAGTTCTTTTTTTAAATTAGGCCATCAATTACTATTTAATTAATTAATGAAATTCAACAAACTTGTTATAATCTCTAAATTTAACACCACCTTTCCACACCACCCCCCTTTTGAACTTGGTTATGTCAATCCTTTTTCACAACAGAAGTATTAAGTTCTAACACAGAAGCTTTTTAGTTATATAATTTTACTTATTTATTTTTGTTTTTGTTGTCTGTGCTTTTGAGATCTTATTCATAAAATCTTTTTCCAGACCAAGGTCCTGAAGCATTTTCCCTATGTTTTCTTATAGTAGTTTTATAGTTTCAGTTCTTACATTTGGATCTTTGATCTACTTTGAGTTGATTTTTATATAGGATGAAAGGTGAGGGTCTTGTTTTATTGTCCTGAGTATGGATATCCAACTTTCCCAGCACCTTTTTTTTTTTTTTGAGACACAGTCTCACTTTGCTGCCCTTATGGTGTCAGAGCTCACAGCAACCTCAAACTCTTAGGGCTCAAGTGATCCTCTTGCCTCAGCCCCCCAAGTAGCTGAAACTATAAGCAACCACCACAGTGCCCAGCTATTTTTAGAGACAGGGTCTCACTCTTGCCCAGTCTGGTCTCGAACTCCTGAGCTCAAGCAATCCACCTGCCTCAGCCTCCCAGAGTGCTGGGATTACAGGTGTGAACCACCGCATCCGGCCTAGCCCAGCACCATTTATTGAACAGAGTATCCTTTCCCCAAAATCTGTTCTTTATACCTTTATTAAAAATCTGTTGGCTATAAATATGTGGTCTATTTCTAGGTTCTCTGTTCTGTTCCACTGGTCTATGTGTCTGGGTTTTTTTTAAGCATGAAGCAGAGTTTATTGAGGAAGAGAAAGATAGGTTTACAGAGCAAAATACAGGATCATGGACAAGAAATGGCCCTCTTTGTCCCTATGAAAGAAGAGGATGTGCCTATTTTTTATGCCAGTACTGTTCTATTTTGGTTCCTGTACCTTTGTAATGTATTTTTGAGGTCTGGAAGTGTGATGCCTCCAACTTTGTTCTTTTTGTTCAGTATTGTTTTGGCTATTTGGGATCTTTTACAGTTACATACAAATTTTAAGAGTGTTTTTTCTTTCTCTTCCTGTGTAGAATGTCATTGATATGGATCATTTTTTTCTATTTCTATGAAAAATATTATTGATATCTTGATAGGGATTGCATTGAATCTATAGATTGTTTTGAATAATCTGGTAATTATAACAATATTTACTCTTCTGACATACTCCAGACTATGAACATGTTTTTCCATTTGTTTGTGTCTTCTTCAATTTCTTTCATCAGTGTGGTTTTCCTTATAGAGATCTTTCATCTCCTTGGGTAATTATATTCTTAGATTTTTTAAAATTGGGTTGCCTTTTTAATTACTTTTTCAACTAGTTTGTTTTTGTGTATAGAACTGCTACTGATTTTTGTATGTTGATTTTGTATCCTGCAACTTTTATTGAATTTGTTAATCAGTTCTAAAGTTTTTTTTGTAGAATCCTTGTTTCTTTCTGCATATGAGTTCATGTCATCTGCAAACAAGGACAATTTGGCTGCCCTTTATTTCTTTCTCTTGCTTAATTGCTCTGGCTGGTTACTTTTTTTTTTTTTTTTTTTTGATACGTTCTTACTTTGTTGCCTTTGGTAGAGTACCATGGTGTCATAGCTCACAGCAACCTCAAACTCTTCAGCTTAAGTGATTCTCTTGCCTCAGCTTTTCATTTATAGTAAAGATGGGGTCTCACTCTTGCTTAGGCTGGTCTCAAACTGGTGAGCTCATGCGACCCACCATGCCTGGCCTTGGCTTGTTACCTTTTTTTTTTTTTTT